CACAGTTAACATCCTCCACATTTAATTTCATTTAACTTCCTACCGTATTGGAGAGAAAAGTAGCAGCACCTACTGGCAGTTTTTGCACTTTTGTGTTCTTCTGTGCCACCTCTGTAGTACGAATTAATTTTGTTAATACTAATTTCATTTGATTGGTAACATTCTACTTGTTCTTATTCTATTGTTTTAATTAGAAATGTAAAAATAAAAAGCTTATAAATATACATTTTTGAATTTGACATAAAAGATGACATACTTTTGATAAAGTTAGAAAAATGCCATTAAAAGTGCTCCTAAAAAGAAAAGTAAGCGTAGAGCCCTGTAATACTGTTAAATATTGAAAGTGATGGTTTTCTATTTTAATATACTTTCAAATATAATTTATTCCTGTGATTCAAATCTGAATTTTCATCATAGCTACAAGCCACTTTTGTGTTCTTCTGTGCCACCTCTGTAGTACGAATTAATTTTGTTAATACTAATTTCATTTGATTGGTAACATTCTACTTGTTCTTATTCTATTGTTTTAATTAGAAATGTAAAAATAAAAAGCTTATAAATTTTTCTTCTTTTTTTTAATAAATTAATACTTTTATTAAGCAAGGATGTGTTAAATTGATAAAAAGTGATGGTAAAGACATGTTTGAAAAGATTTCTGTTTTCAGTAAATGCTGTACTTTTTATTAATCAAAGAATCCTGAATTATTGACAAAAAAAATATTAAGCAGCACAATGTCAGAAATCATTCTAATATGCTGATTTATTATTAATGCACACTACTGTTCAAAGGTTTGCGGTCAGTATTTTTTTTTCTTCTTTTTTTTAATAAATTAATACTTTTATTAAGCAAGGATGTGTTAAATTGATAAAAAGTGATAATAAAGACTTATATTGTTAGAAACTGTTTTCAACATGATGACAATAAAAAAAATGTTACTTGAGCACCAAATTTTTACAGCTTTGATCACAGAAATAAATTACATTTTATATATTAAAATAGAAAACCATTATTATTTTAAATTGTAATAATATTTCACAATATTACTGTTTTTTCTTGTCTTCTACGTCTTGATGAGCATAAGAGACTTCTTTAAAAAATCATCACTGATGATCTTACTGATCCCAAACTTTATATATATGTTACCCAAATGTGTCACAATTACAGTGAATGTCTTATTATATTTCAAATAAAAATACTGAAATCATTTCCCAACAGTGCTGTTTCCTCGACACACCAACGCCAACACCAGAGACAACACCATCAACCTCATCCACACCTTCCGGGACTATCTGCACTACCACATAAAGTGCTCCAAGGTGAGAAACGCCTCTTTGCCCAACGCCACTCTTCAAACGAGACCCTCGAGTTTGTAAGAAGCTTAGTAATGTGCTTCTCAGTTTGCATACTTGTCATTCAACCATTCGGCCCTTTGTATGGCCTGATGAAACCAATTTGTCAGCGTGAAGAAAACTGCTCTATTCTTGGGAATGTAGGCGTTTTCCACTCTCACAGATGTGTTTTCTCTGGTTTTAGGCTTACATCCACACTCGCATGAGGGCCAAGACCTCGGACTTCCTGAAGGTGCTCAACAGAGCTCGCCCGGACGCTGAGAAGAAAGAGATGAAAACTATTTCGTAAGTGCTGTTTCACAATCAGTAGTGTTTCACACGTTATATGAAACCGCACAGAGTTATCCAAGTCTTAAAATCTTTTTCTCATGGGCTTTTTTTCCAGTAGAGGTGGTTGATTTGTGCTGATGTTGGTGCATATCTCTGGGTTTTATTTAACACCAGTGGCATGTGCTTGCAAAAGATTACTTTGTGATAGTGTGTGTTTGAATCTTCATTGATTACGCTGAGGCGTTGCACCATCCACTGATCATATCAGAGCAGATTACCATGTACTTTTCAAATATACTTTAGTTGGTTGCGGTTTGAGCTTGTTTAAACTGAAACGTGGCCAAGTGCTGCAGATACGTCTTCTCTGGAATCAAAGGCCATTTTTTCTGCTAGATTAGAAATTGATTTTTATCAATAGCGTAGAAACTTTTCGAAATATACCTAACGTGAGTTCTGATGAATTACTTTTCGTAAATGTCAGTGTGCTTTTAACTTGGAAAAAAAAAAACAGTTTTAACAATGAGCGACCGTTTTTACTTTATATTTTAACATTTATTAATATAGGTTAATATTTATTTCAAATAATGTTCATTGTTAATTCATGTTTGTTCATGATACATTAGCTAATGGGAATTTATACAGCTTCAGATGTTACAAATATATAATAGAAATGGTAACACTTAAAAAAAAAGGTTCCATTAGGTGACATTAGTTAACTAACAATGAACAATGCGTTTGTTACAGTATTTAATCATCTTTGTTAGTGTTATTAATAAAAACGTGGCCAAGTGCTGCAGATACGTCTTCTCTGGAATCAAAGGCCATTTTTTCTGCTAGATTAGAAATTGATTTTTATCAATAGCGTAGAAACTTTTCGAAATATACCTAACGTGAGTTCTGATGAATTACTTTTCGTAAATGTCAGTGTGCTTTTAACTTGGAAAAAAAAAAACAGTTTTAACAATGAGCGACCGTTTTTACTTTATATTTTAACATTTATTAATATAGGTTAATATTTATTTCAAATAATGTTCATTGTTAATTCATGTTTGTTCATGATACATTAGCTAATGGGAATTTATACAGCTTCAGATGTTACAAATATATAATAGAAATGGTAACACTTTAAAAAAAGGTTCCATTAGGTGACATTAGTTAACTAACAATGAACAATGCGTTTGTTACAGTATTTAATCATCTTTGTTAGTGTTATTAATAAAAATACAACTATTCATTGCTAGTTTAATGTCAGCAAAGGTCCGTTAAATAATATGAACATATACAACTTTTGATTGTACTAATAAAAACGTATTAGTAAATGTTGAAATTAACATTAAGGTTAATAAATGCTTTAGAAGTATTTTGTCATGTTAACAAATGGAACCTTATTGTAAAGTGTTATTGTAGAAATGAACATTCATTGTTAGTTTATGATACCTAATGAATTAACTAATATTAACGAATCTTTTCGTAAAATGTGTTACTGATTTCTGACTTCTGATTTAAGTGTTACAGATTTATGCTTAACTATAAATCCTTAAGAATCAATGATTGTAATTCAGAGACAGTGATATATTTTTCGAATCTTATTTTTATTGTTATATTGTTTTGGTTATATATATATATATGTGTGCACTTTGACATTTTCTTGGTATCATGTGTCTCATGTGTCTTGCAATATTGAGTATATAGCTATATTTATTCCACTGTTTTGACCTGTGAATATGAATGTAACCCTCACATGATCTGTCCAGGGGCAAGACCTTCTCCCGTTAAGGACATGATGTGCAATCACGAGACCAACATCTGTGGACTCCATCGTACACCTCTGGCCAGTGATGTCGATCCTCCACCTGTAAATTGCACCTCAACAGGGAGACGAATATATTTCTCGCTTTGCATTTATAGGATAAATGTTATTTGTATGTCGGATAAACGTTTTTTTTTTGATACGCTCTTATGTTTCATTGCGTAGCTCTGTTGTCTGACAGTGTTTTATTGACTTTAGTCATGCAGTATTTTCCCTTTCCTCTTGCCTTCTTTGTTTGCGCCAAATGCATCAATATTGGACATCCTGAATCGGTCATGAATAAACCCGTCTTCTATATAAGAGATTCTTTCTGTTATTTGGGGTAAAATGACTGTATGCATGCAAAAGTTTAGGGTCGGTAAGATTATTTTAATGTTTTTGAAAGAAGTCTCTTATGCTCACCAAGGCTGCATTTATTTAAACAAAAATATGGTGAAATGTCATTACAATTCAAAATAACTCTTTAATATATTTTATTACGTAATTTATTCATTTGATGCAAAGCTGAATTTTCAGCATCATTGATACAGTCTTCTGTGTCACATGATCCTAAATCATTCTAATATGCTCAAGAAACATCTTATTATTATCAGTGTTGAAAACGGTTGTGCTATTTCATATTTTTGTGGAAATCATGATCCATTTTTTTTTTGTTCAGGGGCCAGTTGCATATAAGGTTTAGACTAGTCTTACAAGTTATTTTTTTTCTTTAAAACTGGTCATTTTTTAAATTCAGTTACATAAAAGCATACATTAGTCTAACTTGAATCCCAAAATAAGACTGATTACCCCTTGGCTAACAGCTAGTTGGTCAAACTCATACTTAAGACATTGTCTTAACATAGAGGCTAAGTTTATGCAACTGCCCCCTGCATTCTTTGATGAATAGAAATCTTTTGCAATATTATAAATGTCTTGCTGTCACTTTTGGTGCTGAATGTATCATTTTCTTTCAAAAACAAAAGTTCTTACGGACCCCAAACTTCCGATTGGTAATTTACATTCTAAAATAACAACACTAGCCAAGGAAATTAAGCTCATACATGTTTTATTGTGGTACAGGAGATTGATAAAATAGTCATGGTCATCACAAAGAAAAATTGAGCAAAATTGAGCAATAAGAAGGACAGAAAGACGAACCACTAATGCTGTAAGATTAGGATGAGACGTAGCAGTACAAAGTCACTCGTTCTCCTTCATCATATCTTGAGAAGCTTCCCTCATCCTCATCACGTTCAACAGGTTACTTCTCTTTCCTCCACTAACTCATCTTCCTCTACATCGGTTGTTCTACATCTGTTGGCGCCCCCAGAAAGTTTTAATAGGGGAGCCAGAGGAGGCCACAGCAAATCTTGGAATGGCACACCAAAAAAAAAATTTAATAAAAGGAATTTAGTGTAATGTGTGTTATACTTATTTACCTTTGTTTCTGGTTAATGTAACAATATCATTTTAATTAGCAATTAATTACTCTTTAAATAGTGTAGTTATTTTCCTTAAAATAATTAAATCAAACAAAAGGACGATATTTAGTTTAACCTTTGCCGGCGGCCTCAGATTATTATTGTTTCACAGCACGCTTAAACATCACAATCTTACTTGATCTGGACAAACCGTGTATCATTAGAAAGATTAAAGACTCCAGCTTCGATATTTGACCACTGTATGATAAAAATCGGTTGCAGTGAAAGGCATTTCTTTAATTTATGCCAGGATTGCTAAATAATAATAATGTATGGTATTTTGAATAGAATAAAAAAAAGCATTCATATTCAGTCTAGTCTGCTGCGGTTTATTTGTGTTCACAGATTTACTGAACAGCATCATTAAGGGCTTATAGACCAAAAGTGCGCATACTTGGGAGCAAAATTTATATATTTACACGTTTACTTCATATTCCTTCAGACAGAATCATCATTTCTATTCATTTTCCACTGATTTACACAATCTGATGAGCATTAGCTACTCCCAGCGTTGTCTCAGTATGTTTTCTCTTCCGCAATAGCTGTTCTGACTCCGATGAAGCTCATTCGCTGTCACTCATAATACGCGTTCATAACCCGATGATGTGCTTCCCTTACACTTCCGCGTTGTGTTCTGTCCACAGCAAACCCAGAGAAACGTTTCTACACAAGAACATTAAGCTAATAAACACACGATTACCATAGTATATAACTGGTATGTGATTTTCATGAGCTTTGGGTTATTTTCATAACAATAAAGAATGTTTAGAAGGGCAGTGAAACAGCTACTCTGGTGGCGCCAATCTACAATCTTCTTTCGTGGCTGCAGCGGGTGCTGCATTTTATTTTCGTTCACTTCGTGAACTATTGTGAATTTACATTATGCATTTAAATTAATAGTACCCACTGCAAAATTATTCTAGGGGTGGCCACAGGGGGGGCCAGAGTTTATGGCCACCCCTTGGGGGCGCCCCTGCCTTCGCTAACTCCAGTTCTTCCAACTCCTCTTTCTCATCTAGCAACTTTTCCATCTCTAACCCCAGTTGTTCTGCCAACTCCTCTTGCTCATCTTTCAACTTTTCCATCTCTAAATCCAGTTGTTCTCCCCAATCCTGTAGCTCATCTTTCTCCTTTTCCATCGCTAACTCCATCTCTAACCCCAGTTGTTCTGCCAACTCCTCTTGCTCATCTTTCGCCTTTTCCATCTCTAACCCCAGTTGTTCTCCAAACTCCTCTTGCTCTTCTTTCTCCTTTTCCATCGCTAACTCCAACTCTAACCCCATTTGTTCTGCCAACTCCTCTTGCTCATCTTTCGCCTTTTCCATCGCCAACTCCAGTTGTTCTCCAAACTCCTCTTGCTCTTCTTTCTCCTTTTCCATCGCTAACTCCATCGCTAACCCCAGTTGTTCTGCCAACTCCTCTTGCTCTTCTTTCACCTTTTCCATCTCTAACCCCATTTGTTCTGCCAACTCCTCTTGCTCATCTTTCGCCTTTTCCATCGCCAACTCCAGTTGTTCTCCAAACTCCTCTTGCTCTTCTTTCTCCTTTTCCATCGCTAACTCCATCGCTAACCCCAGTTGTTCTGCCAACTCCTCTTGCTCTTCTTTCACCTTTTCCATCTCTAACCCCAGTTGTTCTGCCAACTCCTCTTGCTCATCTTTCGCCTTTTCCATCTCTAAATCCAGTTGTTCTCCCCAATCCTGTAGCTCATCTTTCTTCTTTTCCATCGCTAACTCCATCTCTAACCCCAGTTGTTCTGCCAACTCCTCTTGCTCTTCTTTCGCCTTTTCCATCGCTAAATCCATTTGTTCTGTCAACTCCTCTTCCTCTCCAAAAACGTGGTTGTTGTGATTAGTAGGATTTTGCTCAAGTTCGCTCTGAGAGACCACTTCTCCGTCCACTATTTCTTGCGTGATGATGATGGCTTTCTTAAGTCCGACGGAAGGCGGAGGAGCTGGAGACAGAAAGCTGGAGGTTAGAGTCAGCCTTTAGTAATTCATTAAGACATTTACAGACGTCCCACCTCTCCAGGAATGTCCGGGAGTCTCCAGCATAACCATAGCGGCTCCCAGCTGCCCGCAAATTCTAAACAATATCGAGTGTGTGAGAGAGAATCCCTATTTCCACATGGTATTAAGATGCGTTTTCGGTCATCTGATAACAACTGTTCAGCCAAGACACATTTTAACCTAGTATTACCTACATATTTTTATCGTTTTTACCTCTTATTATAATGTGTTTTCCTGATATTATCAATGCGTCGCCGGACTTCTTGCGTTCAGATATCCAGTTATTTCGTGAGACTACACTGGATCACTTTCACTTTCGTTTCACGAATACTAATGAATGAACAAACGGGTGTTTGTTCTCCGGGGCTATTTCCTGGAAATGGGTTTTGGCAGGGTGGGATGTCTGCACTTATGTAGCATACAAAAACAAGTTAGACTTTTTTTTTTTAAACATTAGAAGCTCTTACAAGCAAACAAATAATCAAAGTTCAACACTGCTGCGTATATTAGTTGAGAAAGCAACATTTTAATAGGCTAGTAAACATTACTTGGGTCATTCTATGAATCAGATGCCTGTTGCATTTTGAGAAGGTAATTTTGCAAGTGAGTTTTTGTAAAAGATTTTTAAAATGATGTGTTTCAATACGTTGCGTCGCTCCATCTCAAGCAAAATTAACAAAACATTACTTGGGTCATTCTATGAATCAGATGCCTGTTGCATTTTGAGAAGGTAATTTTGCAAGTGAGTTTTTGTAAAAGATTTTTAAAATGATGTATTTTCAATACGTTGCGTCGCTCCATCTCAAGCAAAATTAACAATTTATAATATATTCATAGATATATTTAGAATATGACAAGATATAATTATGTCTTCAGAACAGTAACAGGGTGAAGTTTTACAGTTTAATTTGACAATACAAGGTCATGAAGGTCCTTCTTTGAGAATTTAATGGTGATATTTCTAGAAATATCCACTTTTTCACTTATTAATTTTATTATATATACATGCTAATAGAGACTAAGGTGGCTAAAAAGGGCACACAAATAGCACCTGTTTTGTAGAATGACCCTTTTGTTTCTTCAACAGGTTGTAAAGATGATTGTCTTCAAACATATTTGCATGAGGTTAGCAGTGAGAAACATAAACAGCGTGAGTGATGTGAGTGTATTTGGCCAGCGAGGGCTCGGGCAGCACTGTTTACTCGTCTTTGTTAGACCATAGAGCAGTGAGTGATGATTAGTATGAAGACAAGCTTGATGCGGGTTAGGCAAGCATTGTTTGTTAACTCATACTGACGATGCCTAAAATCTACACGTCACGGCACTCACCTGCATACAATGACTGCTCTAAAGAAAATTCCTCTCTGTGGAGGGAAGAGAAAACATGAGAGAATGGCACAAAGGGAGGTATTTGATGGGAAAAGATTCAACTAAATGTTCAAGAGTGGGGTGGATCGACATTAAGAAGGGTTCACTGAAAAACCCACACTGAGTGATCGCTTTTCTGCATATATAAGGGGGGAAAGTTTTTAAGTGGTGTCTATTTTAAAGGACAGATGCTTGCTGGGACATGTTTCTCACAAGCCTGTAGGGAAAGAGTTTGTGCTGTGTGTTTGTTACTATAGAGTGACTTCACCATGGAAAGATGAGCTTTGTGCACGCTAGATTTGCATGCTTTTTTTTTCCGGAGAAGAAATAAATGCATACAGGTTTGGAACAACATGATAGTGCAACAAAGATGCACAAACATGCTTTTTGTATTTGTTCTGAACTGGACCAAAACATTTGAACAAACAGCAGTATTTAACTGCATATACTAAAACATTTTCAGAGAAAGTTAAGATTTGCAATTTTAGAAACAAATCATCAAATCAGTGTTTTGAAGAATTTTATTAAAGGAATAGTTCAACCAGAAATGAAAATGTGCTAAAACTTTACTCATCCTCAGGCCATCCACGATGCAGACGAGTTTTTTTCTTCATCAGAACAGATTTGGAGAAATGTACATCACTTGCTCACCAATGGATCCTCTGCAGTGAAAACAGTCCAAAACAGTTCTAAACAAATGTTTTTCACTGCAGGAGGCATTATGGATTATGGACTTGTATTTTGGCCAGAAGCACCAATTTAAAGTTACAATGTCTTGGATTTGTTTCTAACAAACATGCAGTTTTTCACTTCACAAGACGTTAACTGATGGACTGGACTGGTGTGGATTACTTGTGGATTATTGTGATGTTTTTATCAGCTGTTTGGACTCTCATTCTGACGGCACCCATTCACTGCAGAGGATCCATTGCTGAGCAAGTGATGTAATGCTACATTTCTCCAAATCTGTTCCCATGAAGAAACAAACTCATCTACATCTTGAATGGCCTGAGGGTGAGTACATTCTCAGGAAATTTTCATTTTTGGGTGAACTATTCCTTTAAAATAGACAGCGTGATCTGATACATGAAATGAATCGAACTAACCAACTTGAATGGTATTTTTGCTACATTGTTTAAGTCAACATTGAAAATGCATGTATTTTTTCCAATAATTTTATATGACTTGCAAAATTGTGTTGAATACATTGTGAATCTTTGATATATTACCCAGTCCTAATTTGAATCTTTATAAGGGCTTTTATGGGATTTGGCTTCAGTCTAAAAAAAAAAAAAAAACGGATTCAGCTGATTAAGGACTTGAGGCGATTAAGTATCAATGATGATTCTGGCATTGAGCTGGAATATCCATTTTTTGATCACTGTTCACGAACTCATGTCTCCTTCATCTTACCTATTTTTGTCCCCCTTGTCGTCAACAACACCCTCCAGGAGGCGGTGATAGGTGGCAATCTCTGCCTCCAGTTTGGACTTGATGTTGAGCAGGGCATCGTACTCGGCCGCCTGACGCTCCACCTGCGCGCGCACCTGTCCCAGCTCTCCCTCCAGCTGCAGGATTCGAGAGTTGTACCCATTGACTTCGTGTGCGTAACGTGCCTCTGTTTCATGCAGAGAATCTTCGAGTGACCGAATCTGCAGATCACCAAGCAGAATAAAAAAATTTATGTTTCTTATGATCTTACTTTTTAAAATTTATTTTTAAAAGTTTTTATAACTTTTTTAAATAAAGGCCTCTGTGTAAATGCTTTAAATTGAAAAACATAATTTTTTATTTTTAAATGTTTAAAACATTTATTATATTTAATTAATTGTATTATTTTTTATTATATTGTTTAATTTCATTATTTTTGTTTCACAACAAGTTTGTCTTGAATATATTGAAAAAGATTCACAATATATTAAAGGCAATTTGTGCTAGCGAAACAAAAATAATGAAATAAAAAAATATGAAAAATACAATTAATACAGTATAATAAATGTAATACAAAAAAATAAGAATATAATATTCCAGCTCTATGCCAGACTCATCCTTGTCACTTAATTGCCTCAAATCCTTACAGATTTTTATTTTTATATATATATATATATATATAGAAGACTTTCATAGAAGACTTTCAGGTTTCAGGCTTTTTTTTGGCGATTATTTCTGTGCAGAAATGTGCTTCAGTTAAGTCCAAAAAAATTATCATGACAATACAATCTCAGCAAACCATTATATAAAAAACGCTTTTGTTTTCCCATGGTAAAAAAAAAACACTTGGGTGCACAGGAATAATGTGTAGGACAGGCATGAAATGTTCGAGCGATTGAATCTGCTAGACACCAAGTAGAATAAAGGAAAGTCTGGAAACATTTCAATGAATTAATGTTTCTTTTATTTTTATTTTGTAATTTTGTTTTCATTTGTGCTATTTATAAATGACCATTATTCTAAAATGTGGGAAATAGTAATAAAGAATGAGTAGGTGTGTCAAACCTCTTGACTTTCAGCAATTATTTCTTTGCAGAAATGTGCTTTAGAAATGATCTTGACGAAAAAAAAAAAAATCTAGACAAACCACCATATAAAAACAACTTCTGTTTTCCCATGGTTTAAAAAAAAAACACTTGGGTGCACAGGAATAATGTGTAAATTCCGATGACATGCATGCACAGAGACAGGTATCGAACATTTCGTGCAATCTCATTTCATTATCATTTAATTGATGGACATGTCTGCCAGGTGAGAGTGCTGACTGTGTGGAACGCTGAGTGATTTGTCAAGTGGATAATTTGTGTACCGTACCATATTGTGCAGAGCCTGCAGGTCAATTTCTAGAGATTGTTTCTGCCTGCGCAGCTCGTTCAGCTCTGTCTTTCCTGCCTGCAGAGCTTCAGTGTTCAGTGTCACCTCAGCTGTCATGTTGTCAAACTGGATAGAGAGGAACAAAGAGAACAAGGTGTTCAGGTCACATGACAATATAGTGCCGCTTTATAATTACGCACAAAGCTCTTTTAAATTAAAAGGCACTTTCCACTTTCCCATAGGGTACAAAATAGGGTCACAACTCACAAAAGTAAAAAAATGAAAGATGGTGCTTAACCTAATTCCTTAGGAGGGTGCAATTATTATAAGAGCTGTTTTTAATGTATTTTAGAAGCACTATATATATATATATATATATATATATGAAAGTGCCAACAATTTTGGAAAAACAGAAGGAGACAATAAATGAATGCAAAATATGACTGACTTTGTTTTGATACCAGGCTTCGGTTTCCTCGTGGCTCTTCTGCGCGGCTCGCTCGTACTGCGTGCGGATGTTATTCATGGCCTCATTGAGGTCTGCGTTGTTTTTAGTCTCCATTTGCACATTGACTTGAGAGTCGCTGATCTGGCTCTTCACATTGGCGACATCCTGTGAAATAAAATGATACATGAATTTAGTTATATGGATTTTAAAGGCGGGATCTGGCAACAGAGCTGAGTTTGTTTAACACTTGCCCTGGCCTAAAGCATTGAAAACCAGGTAGGTCGGGTGGAAAGATCTGTTAACAGTTGCTCAAATAATGATTTTATGGTGACCACCCACTTTTTTAGCAGGTCTTAGTTTGGAGTATTTTGCCCATATTTCCCCCCCATATTTAAAATAAAATAAAATAAATTTCACCAAATAAATAAATTAGAGCTTCAATAAAGAGTTATTGGAACAAACCACATGAATCTGTCCATTGAAGCCATTGATTATATATAAATAACATAAATGCACTTTAAGTTAATTAAATATTAATATTAAAATTATTTAAATTTTAAGATAATTAATGAATATATTTAGTTTTTCAAGTATTTTAACATTAAAATATTAATTAAATTAAACTAACATTTAAATTATTATTATAACCAAGTATTTTAAAATTAAAATAAATTAAATATTGATTTAATTAAATTAATATAAATCAAATGAATTTTTAAAATTATTTTAATAATAACATTTAAATATATCATATATTATTAATGATCATATTCATATTTAGCTTAATTAATGTTAAATTAATATTAATTACTAAAATAAATATTTTCATAATGTCTGAGTATTTTAAAAATTAAAATAGTTTAATATTAATTAAATTAATATTCATATTAAATCAACATTCATTCAATTAAATTTATTAAAATATTATTTTAATAATTTCCCAGTATTTTAATGTAAGACATAAAATCATTTTATTATTCATTTAATTCAAGTAATATTAATATGTGATCATATTAACAAAAAAAATAATAAATTAAATTAAAATTGTTGACTTAATCGCATCATCTGCTTAAAGTTGATATCTCGCTAATTTATGATTTCTACGGCACTATACACTCTAAAAAATGCTGGGTTAAATAGCACTGGGTTGTATTTAACCCAACATTTTTTAGAGTGTACAGTAGAATTAATTCGATTTTACTTCCGGGACTGATGTTTGCTTTCGTTGCGCTCTGTTAACTACTAACTGCTGCTGCTTGTGACTAGAAGGCTGTTTGTAGTCCAACAATGAGTCTCATAGAAACACAGATCAAATGAACCACCTACATGAGTACATCTCTTTAGGTTTGAGGTGTTGCTGTTTTAATCAGTGTGTTTAAGGCGTGTACCTCCTCGTGGCTCTTCTTCAGGAACGCCAGCTCTTCTCTCATAGACTCGATCTGGCTCTCCAGCTGCATGCGGCCCATGTAAGTGTCGTCCAGCATCTTGCGGAGTCGTGCCAGATCCTGCTCCACCCCTTGCCGCATGGCCTGCTCCGACTCAAACCTGCCCGGAGCGATTCAGCGAGAGCTTCTTTACATCAGACCACAGGGCGTGTGTCGTATTTACAGCAAACTGTGACACAGCTTAGTTTTATTATATTTGTATTATAGTATATTTATCTTATTATAGTATATTTGTTTAAGATACATTTTCTTAATTTGAGAGTTTTTAACATTTCATCAAGGAATAAATAACCAAATAACTCACTTGACTTTGAAATCATCAGTAGCCAGCCTCGCGTTGTCTATCTGTAAGAAAAGTCTGGCGTTGTCCATAGTCATTTCCTGGAGCTGAGGGGTTGATTCACAAACACACTCCTATCATTGTCTTGCATTTAGGGTTCTCATTACAGCATTTAAGCAAACAGCAGATTTTTGTTATTTTTTACAATTGTCATTACACTTTATGCTGATAAAAAACAGAGGAAAATAGATTATATCATATAAAATAATTTAATAAATGCTAAATAAATACTGCAGTGTATATAGAGTACAGAAGTGTACCTTTTCTTTAAAATTGTTATATCTCTTAAAAGACTATTTTTAAAAATCTATAAACAAAACAACAACAACAACAAAAGGAAAAAATGTAAATGATTTGCATTTTGATAGTCTTGACACATATCCAAATTTTGGTTCCTGTACTAAAAACTAAAAAGTTTTTGTTACCCTTGGCATTTTTAATGCACCCACTTTTCTTTTCTTTTCAATTTAATTTAATTTTTTTTATTAATAATATTTCTTCCATTTGACAATCATTGTTTCTTAATTGCATTTCAATTGTTTTATTGCTGGTTTGTAACCTTAGTGTTTTTCTTTTACTGCTTTTGTCGAGATCACTCATGCTCATCTTGGTTATGAAAAATAGAAATATAATTTTTTTTTTATTGAATCAGTGAATAATTCAATGAATAATTTCCATAAAAAATTTAAAGGTAGTTGCAACATATTATCAGCAAGTTGTTCTTGTCTTTACAAGCTTAAACCACATACACAACCATTCAAAATTAAAACTAAAATTAAATTTCAATAAAAAAAAAAATTTATAATGGATGAGTTGGAGCGGATAGTGAAGAAAAATCGTCAACAAATGTCCAACATAGATGTAAACTTGCATCTCATGCATTTAAAGAAGCTACAGATCTGGAATTTAAAGGGTGAAAACTTTGCAGAAGCTCAAATAGAACATATTTAGCAACTACATAATTCCCAAACTTTCATTTGTGTTATTTCGTGATTATCTATTATTCTAAAATGAGGAAAATAGTCATAGTAAAGAATTAGCAGGTGTGTCCAAACATTTGGTTGTGTGCTTTACGATAAAAAAAGCATGCATGAGTACTTAACAAAACCTTTTATTTGTTCACCTGGTTTCTCAGATCCGCAACGATCTTCTCATAGGCGCTCCAGTCTCTGCCGCTCTCAGCTCCTTTCCTCATCAGAGCCTCTTTGATTTGCTCCTCCAGTTCATTGTTGGAGTCCTCCAGGAGTTGCACTTTTGACAGATACCCCGCCAGAGGGTCATTCAGACCCTTCATGGTCTCTTTTTCATCAGCCGGGGCAAAAGTGCTGCTGTTGATCTGCACGATCGGACGCAGTGTGTTTGCCAGATTCCCTATAGTGGCTGGGGAAATGGCCCCAAACCAACTGCCCCTTGACCCCATGCTACCAGACAGACTTGAGCTGGAGAAACTCCTGGAAGGGCTCTTGAACGACATGGTGCGGATTAGAAGTGCCTTTGAGTGTGCTTGCGAGACGCGGTCTGTTGTTTTACCTGCGGCAGGTAGTGTGAGGGGGGTTTGGGAGCAGCTATATATAGACTCAGTGCTTTCAGCTCTCTACAGTGATTGGTCAGTGTGGGATGTAAGTCTACACCTGCACGGCTCTCATTTGTTTGCAAATTCCCACAGAGGATAAACAAGGATATACTCTCAAACTACACTGAAAAGGGTTTACTTTAAAACAATTTTCACTTAGAAATTGCTAGTATCTTTCGCAAAAAATGACAAAAAACACTCTGAATTAAACATGAGGAAGAAAAACTGATTTAGTATTTTTTTGTAAAACATACTCCAATCTTCTTTGTTTTATTTACAACCTAGAAAAATTATTCCAGGCCACATGCATAACATATTTTTTGTGTGTTGCATGTTGCCACATGCATGAGTTCAATTTGTGTTTTGTCTATTCTATATACTGTATATATACGGTTTATCTCACAGAGCCTGTCAAGAACAAGTCCAGGTTATATTTCAAAGACATTCGATTTTGCTTTACCTTTTGTGACAACATGCCCCGATAGTAATAGCTAATGGGGTAAGTTGTCACATTGGGAACCAAACAGCCTATTATAAGCTGTTTTAAATCAAAATATAAACAGTAAAACAATAAATGGTCAAAAAATATTGAAATGAATACATTTTCGGTTTTAAAATGCTATTTGAAAAGTGCATAGAAGCACACTGTTTATCTCACAAATCCTGTCACATCCATGTCATATTTCACGCTTCACCAGGTCATATTTCACTTTCTCTCTCTCTCTCTCTCTATATATATATATATATACACACAGTATATTTTGGTAAAAAAAAAAGAAATATTTCCACCCTTAAAGTCCCAAATATGATATGGTTCACTGAACACACATTGAGCTTTTGTGACAACATGCCTCAATAGCAATAGCTTATGGGGTAAGTTGTCACTCTGGGAACCAAGGAGTTTATTATAGGCTTTTCATCAAAATATAAATATTTTGAAATAAGGAAACACAAAACAATTAAAGAAACATCAAAAAAAAAAAATGGAGATCACATTTCAATAATTCAGTTCAAATCTGCCTTCATTATATGACTTACTTGTGTCTGAATGTATTCCACTGTGATTTTATTGTTTAATTTTTTTTTATAAAAAAATTAAAATATAATACTTTTTTTTAAATAATAAGCTATTATAAAAATATAATATAATAATATAATATAATAAATTCCAGTTCGTTTTTCGTTTTTGAAAAGTGATTATTATAATCATGGGAAGTGTGGCGTTTTCACGCATGGCCACATGAGGGCAGCAGAGACCGCTTGATATCTGTGCTACTCTCAAGAAAAGTTCTGCAGGAACCACGAAGGGCTGTATTACAACAAACAGCATGCAGGATTCCTGTTGATAAATTTAAGGAACCAGCGGGAATACTTAAATATATTTGCTCTGCCTTCAGATTGGTATTTTACACGCAGTTACACGGGAATCGCTCTTTGGTGTCGGATCTTTTTAAATGAATCGTTTGAACTGGTTCGCAAAAGCGGCCTGAACGATTCGTTCATGATTCATAGTGATTCAGTAGGCTAAAAGCGGTTCTCGAGTCAAAAACTCGAGACATTGAACGGAGAACCGTCTCTTTCCAACAAAGCATTAGAAGTGAATCGAAGATTTTACTGAGGGGACGTTTTATTTATTATGCAACATCGGGATATCAGGGACCACGTGATTTCGTAATTACGCCGTGACGTAAAAGAACCACTGAATCGTTTATTTGAACTGGTTCACCGAAAACAAGAACCGATTCGCGGAAATGAATCAGAATACCGATTTCCGAATTCTCATCTTTCTTGATGTGTTTTTCTAGCAACAATATAACTTTATGTGACTAAAGAGATGTATTTTTTTGTATTCAGAAAAAACACATCTTGTTGCAATATGCTTTTGTGGTATCTGACCTCAGAGATCCCTGCTAACATGCGACCTCACACGGTTTCACATTCATTTGCACCTCTGACACAGTTCTGTAGCTTCCCATGATAATTTAATATGTTAGTATAATTAAATATGTTTAGTTTAATGGTATGTAATATGACTTCTGAATGTGTGATAAACCATTGTTTGCAAGCCATAAATACCGTAGGTCGCAAATCGTCTGTCAGAGACTAAACATTGTAGTAGAGCTTTAGCCTCACAAGACTGAAAAAGACTGGATTGTTATGAACTGACAAACAACCTGGAAAGATACAAAGACGGACCCATGAACATCAGAATCCTCTGCTGAGCTGAATTATGACAATAGAGGTTATAGACTTCTGATAAGAGCATAGAAATGATCAATATGTGTAAACAGAAAATTCAAGACTACACTCCTAAACTCACATAAGATTCAGTTTGAATCAAATGGCATAACCAATAAAAACCATCTATCATTATGTACACAGAGATATAGGCTACTAATGCATGCTCTCCTCAAAATAGTGTCCATCTATAAGAAAATGCATGATTATAATTTGGGAAGGAGTCTGTTTGAATACAGATTTCTGCACAGCGCTGTCTGGGTTTGCTCAGTGAGAGACAACTTATCTCAGAGGTGTGGATCTAACATCTGCAGGCATTTGGCTGCATAAATCTATATTAGTCTTGCATAAATCATTCTGACTCAAAGGATCCCAGATGCACAGGCCAGTCGAGATGTGCTGTTTCTCAGGGAGATAGATCACATCCGACAACCTTTCCACCTGTTGATTCCTTGAGTACAATGACAAGCTGAGCAAAAATCTCCATGCACTTTCAATGCGCCCGACGGGGAAAGTTGTCAGAACGTTCTGGCAAGGTTCTGCCAAATGTTCTTCCTGTAACGTTAATAGAATGTTTGTTCAAAGTCAGCATAAAAAAGTTATTTCTGCATTGTTCATGGAATGTTTCTGAAACATTTTAGTTAGAAGTTCATCTAACATTTTTTTTAAAAATGTGACTGCTTGTCTCAGAATGTCCAGAGAACATTCAAAAGTAATGTTCCCATTCAAAATGGAATGTTCTCTCAACATTCTCATAACCAAGAGAAAACATGTTTAAAACATTTAAAAAACGGGATGTTTTGAACATTCAGAGAACGTGTTCATAATGGGAACATATTTTTGCAAAACAGCAGCTTGAATATACTTTAAACCAGGGGTGTCAAACTCAGTTCCTGGAGGGGCGGAGTCCTGCAGAGTTTAGATTCAACCCTAATTAAACACACCTCATCCAACTAATCAAGTCCTTCAGGCTTATAAGTTTCACAATTTGAGTTGAATTACTGAAATGAATTTTTCCACGACATTCTAATTTATTGAGATGCACCTGTACATGGTATGTTTGTTGGAACAAAACTCTGCAAGGCTCCGGACCTCCAGGAATTGAGTTTGATACCCCTGCTTTAAAAGATCTCCTACAGGTTTGAATTGAAATAAGAGTGAATAAATGATGAACATTTTCCTTTTTGAGTAAACCGTTTCTTTCTTTAAGGTGAAGATCTGCTGAGCTTCAATCTCAAGCTGGAATGTTCTGAGCATGGAAACCCAGAGAAGCACAGAGACAGACAACATCCTGAAACTGACGAGCCAGTATGAGGTTGCTGCCGCTTGCAGTAAAGATGATGGAGAGCAGAACAAACAGGGAAAAAAAAGATGAGTATTGCTTTTGGTCAAGTGTATCTGATTTGGATCTAGTTACCTTTTCAGTAAAAATGCACTCATCCTTCACTGATAAGCGATTCTGATTTGCGGCCACACTTCTGCTGTCAGTGATGAAAGCACCTTTACAATGGCTCTTATTGGATCTGGTTTTCGGAATGAATGGTCACACAGCACAATTAATGATCTGAGTTAACCTGACTAGATATGATGCTCCTGCTTTTTGTGAGTCTTCTTCTGTGCAGATGGATTTTATGATGCAAGTGTAATATATGATGCAATATAATTCCCAACAGATGAAAGGAAACCTTTTTATTTACGGGGGAATCTCATGAAACCCTAAACTTTCTAGTCATCGCCATAGGACAATCTCATTTTTATTACTATAATAATAAAAAACAGACAAACAAAATTCTCATTCTCATTACTGGAATAGGGGAAAATATATAATTTACATAGTAAAATGTTTACTCAACAGCATTTTTAGTTGTATTTGTTGCACTGCCCTTTATTTATATTTATTTAAATATTAAAATTACAATATATACAGTATTTTTAACAAAATATAACTTGAATAATTTTTTGATTTTAGGGTGAAATGATCTGGACATGTTTTCTTGAAATTCACTCATAAGAAAAAAAACGTATAATGTAATAAACAAATAACATAATAAATATTCGATATAATAATTATAAGTAAGAGATTCTTTAATGTTAAGCACTGGCACTGCCATTTTTTATTTTAAATGAATGCATTAAAATACTTGTGAATTCAAATTTCGAAAAACAGGCATAAAGGAATAGTTTTAAGGTCACACATTCTCATATTTGCGCTGTAAGGTTTTTAATGAATTGTGTGTGTGTCTCTCTCTCTGTGTGTGTGTGTGTGTGTGTGTATGTGTGTGTGTGAGGGTGTGTATGTGTGTGTGTGAGGGTGTGTCTCTCTCTGTGTGTGAGTGTGTGTGTGTGTGTCTCTCTCTCTGTGTATGTGTGTGTGTGTGTGGGTGGTTGGACGGATGAGGGTGTGTTTGTGTTTTTTTTTTTTTACACTATTGACCTTCTTTAGCTTCTATTTCAAAACTATGATGAACAAAGAGTCAGGCTTACAGACTAAGAGGTTAATCAAATACTATTTTATATAAATGCTCATGTGAGGAATGATCAACATTAGAGTGCATCTGCCAATGTTTGTGGTGAACGTACTGAAATGTTCTCAAGGGACTTGACATGTTTCACATCTAACACTGCATCCAACACAAACCACCAGGACAGCTCAATTTGTCTTTATATCTCTTGTTTACAGTTACTTTGTGATTTTAGCTCTTTGTCTTGTGGCTCACACAGACAGTA